ATTACTTTAGTTTGTCTTGCTAATCCATACAACAATGACGGCCAAGTCACAGCCATACAGGGTTGGTTATAGCCTAAAGCTGTTAAATATTAATACTACATTTGTATCATCTTCATTGTTGTAGTATCATAAGGATACCTGGTATCGCCGAATACATAAGTATTAGTATCAGGAAGACAAATCGATGGAAAATGTCTAATCAAAATAATTTGACTCAATATAATGAATATGTAGATGTTGGGGCACTGGATGTGGTTATGTGGTTATGTGGTGCTCCCCATGTACAGAGGTCTTAGTCCTCAGCACTGCGACCCTGAGTTCAAATTTGACCTCCCAACATTTCCTCTTTCCTCAGCTGTGCTTTTTCAATAAAGGCTAACATGACCTTTAATGGCCCAATAAATATTAAAAACATATATAAATGTATATGTTGCCATGTTTGTAGTACACAGGCGATGTAATGCAAAACACCAGTACCAGAGTATAGACTACACATATGCTTCAAGTTCTTCTCTTTCTCTTTTTATTAGACAAGGTGTCAGCTGGTCGTTCAACTTTTATCAACAGGTGGAGTAAAATATTAAATATATAAAACAATAAAGAACATTGAAGTTCATATAGGAGGCAATATGTAGACACAAATATGAAAAAAAAACACACTGCATCTCCTGATCCACATGTGTGTGTGTGTGAAAGAGAGAGTGAGCGAGAGGGAGAGAGAGCGAGAGAGAGTCCATATATGCATACATGGATGTCTGCATGTGTGTTAAAAAGGGGAGAGAGCTTTTTTTTTTTGCCCAAGTTGGCATAACTTGTAGCGCGTATGTGTGTGTGTGTGTGTGTGTGTGTGTTGGTGTTTTGTATAGAAAGTGCTGTGTGCAGTAGAACAGGGATTTGGTGCCATCAGCACAGTGATGTCAGCACACAGAGACAAACAAAGCTAGAATCCAAAACCCTCTCCCAACTACCCACAATCCCCCTGGACAGGCTGGGGTGGGGGGGCCCTGCCGAGGGGCCAGCTGACATTAACACACACAAACACACCTACACACACATACAAACACAGACACACACACACACACACACACACACCAATGTTAGCTTGAGCACACATGCACAAACACAGAAGAAAAAAAAGTGCATTTTCAACCACAAGGCTGATAAACTCAATAATAACATCTACAAATAATGGAGGTGGGGTAAATTCAAACTTAACTGTAGGTAACTTACCTTACTAACCTATAATGTATATGCATACATGTGCAATACATATACATCCACTCAGATGTATAATGGGAGGAGGAGACTAAAGGATATTGATTAAACAAGTTTGCTTGAGGTAAAGACATTTACACATCACCAATCTTTTCTTGTTTTTTGTGTGTTTTTACTTAATATGACACTTGTTAAAGTAAACCCACTGTGAGATAGCTTTAAGGAAAGTGAAACTAAAAATAAAATCATTGTGGGATTGAACTTTTTTCATTGATGTGCTTAAAGCAGCGCTGTAAATAAAGTTCAGGAAGAAGAGTAAACATCAGAAATGAGCTGGAAAATTAACTTTTACCAAGGTCAAACAGTCAAACCGGCTCTTTAGGATTGTTGGGGCAAATAAAACCTACTAAAAGGAAGTTTATTTGGGGAAGTAAAACGATGGCAGCCGTGGTTAGTATGGAGGCTGTAGTCCTCCAAGCAGGTGGCATGGGTGCGAATCTGACCTGTGGCTCCTTTCCTACATGTCACCCCCACTCTCTTTCTCCCGATTCCACTGTCCTATCTCTACAATAAAAGGCTTAAAAAGCCCAAAAATAAATATATATATATAAAAAAACGTTCAAGGAAAGTAAACTGACTCTAATTTCCCATGCCTCTAAAGTCTGAAAATTATTCAACACTGGTTTAAACATGAATGAGTTATTAAGAAATCTTTAAAAAAAAAAAAACCTCCATGTTTCTGTACGCAGCGCCGTGTCTGCCAACTATCTGTGTAACACCTGTGAGTGAGCTGTGGAATCAGAAAACACACCTCTGCCTCTGTTTGCTTTGGCCTGGCCCTCTGCCACGCTGCTCAGCTGCATACCTTGCAAATGAGGAATGACATTACGGTTGCTGTGTTCAAGGTGGAGTTAATAAGAAAACACTGTGACTCGATTAGAAGCTGCAGCATCATCACAGAAACTACAATGAGACAAATTCACAAAGGAACAAACGTTTGACTGAAATGCTCTTCGTAAGGGTTAAAATTAACCAAAGAGCAAGCACTGGTAAGGAAAAAACCTTTAAATGGACAGAAACCTCCAGCAGCAGCAGACTCATGGTGAGCAGCCCTCTGAGGTGAAAGTGTGGTGTGTCTATCTAACGCACAAGAAAGAAAGTGGGAGAGGCCAACTGAGTAGGATGGATGATGACAAACAACAAAACAACAGATGACTCATGGCTGACATGTCAGTAGTATGGTTAAAAAAAAAGTAATATTATTAGCTGATGCAGAAAAGTGAGGATAAAGTCTGATATAAGATATGATAAGATGAACCTATCTCACATGGTGAAAATGTTCCGTTTTGGCAGCAAAGAGCAAAAAAACTACTCAAAAAAAAAAGAGCAGTGCACACAGTTCACAATAATCAGAGCCGTTAAAGATTGCAGATGAAGTTTTGCACGTTCACAGAGGAAACACAATGCAAACAGAGCACATTAAGGTTCCACCAGGAGAGACAAGTAAATGAAGAGAAGAATATTTATTGAACAAATTATATATTGTGATGATATTGACAGAAGATCTTTGGCGCTTGGACTTTACAGGGAGATTTTTTTGATCGGCAGACGACTGCTTAAAGGCTTTATATGTGATTTTTTATACTTAAATATAATATAAATCAAGTATATCCTCTGAAAATAACTCTGTGAGTCATGACTGTCTACAATGGGTGTAACACCCGAGTCCCACTGTCTGTGATGTTTTCAGAGTTTTCAGAGTCCTATCTTCACTTTGTTTACATCGCCAGGACGGCCGGCTGACTCCTCCCCTCGCGTATAAAAGTTGTTTAATTGAGGGACTAGAGAAAAGAAGAATAACATACTGTACTCACTGCTTAACTGTGTTTCTAGATCACGCTCATTTCAGGTAAATTTACATGCAGTGTGAAGATACCAGCATAATAAAGATCGCTAGCATTAGCATGCTAACACAACAATGCAGCGCGAGTTGTTTTGGTTTCATGCTGGTGCTCAAGGGCGACACCTGCTGGATCAAAAAAAAAATCACATATAAAGCCTTTAAAGCAGCAGCAGGATGAATCCCCCTGTGGAGTGAAGACACTGGTGGTCGTGGTGGCTGATGACTTGTTGGGACCAGATGGATGATGGTTCTTTAAAGACTGGGAAATGACGGGGAGGTGGAGGGCCCATCGTATCAGAAGCATGAAGGAATTTAAGACAGAAGACAGTCATATCGAAAAAAGAGCATAAAAGATGATTGGCTAACGATGAGGGTGAGACACACCCTATTTCAAACTAAAGCAATATGGAGTTGTGACGTTTGAGTTTATTGCTGCTGCATTTAAAAACAGATGTTAAAATGTGACAGTTATCGTCTTAAAGTCGTCTTAATGAAACGGGCCTTTGAGAGTAACTGCTGTGATGTTACATTTTTCTAACTGAAACAGGATAGAACCAATCACAAAAAAAGAAGGTGGGACATAACGTTTGGATTAATTTGATTGGCTTGTTAGCTTCAAAAAGCTTTTTAATTGGTCATAGGATTAGTAAACGCCCCTAAGTGCAGGATGGGAAGAGAAAATACACTTATTTTGAAATTCTAAGATAATGCCGTATATTGAAATATATTTGGCAGATAAACGAACATTTAGCACAGGAGTGCATGATTAAAACGGGGAAAATGTGTTTTTCATTTCATAGGGACGTTTTGTGAAATAGTTCCTGATCTGAAAGTTGTTATCACATCTTGAAATGTCAGCTGGATGAAGTGAGTTTCTCAAACGACTGTAGGCCTCTCTGTTTTAAAAAATCTTCTATCTTCTGTTGAACTGTTGCACAACAATTAGCAACTGTTGCTGTTTGTCCTCGCTCTTTAAATGCCCCTCTGTCCAAAACAGTAGGAGACAGACCAGGGTTCATAGTGTGTGTGTGTGTGTGTGTGTGTGTGTGTGTGTTTGTGTTGCTTATTTTGGGCAGTGGGATTGGGGTAACTGGGCGTACTGGACCCAAACAGGTCCCCATTGTGCTCCAGGAGGAAGAGCCGGGCTGTGCTGCTCCCTATTCAGCCAAGTTTTGAGTGGGGTGGGAGAGGAGGGGGTACTGTACACACAAACACACACAAACACACAAAAACATGTATGTATGTATGTATGCATGCATTTGGGGGCAACAATAGCTTCCTTTGACCCGTATAATGAGGGACTTCTTCATATTGAAATGGCTGCTGGTGGATTTGCTGCTACATTAGTCTAAACAACGCTTCAAAACCACAACAACAAGTCACAGCAAACTTTCTGCAACTAAACTTAATTGCCTTGTGTTAGAGGGGAGAATGTCTGTGAGTTACTAGCCTGAACTGAACCGGTTGCCTGGCAACACAACTTAGTATATAGGAAGCAGTGGGAACAGTTGTGGGTGTGCAAAGATTCACTGTGAACTCTGACCATTCAGGCTCAGCTGCTTTCCTCCAAGGCAGAGTGTTTTTTATAAAACCTGAGAATTCAACAAAAGTTCAACTAAATACGTTGGAAAGATAATTTTTTTTTTTCTTTACATTCAGCACTCACCATCTATAAATAGAATCCTGACTGCTGTAGGAGTCATTTGCTGCTTTAACCCTGATCTTCACAAAAAAAGACCAAACAGATTATGTCTTCCTGATTAACAACCTGCTGCACTCTGTTTTTAAAAATCAGCATCAAAAATCATTTACACTGTAAAAAAAACCCCACTTATCTTTAAGTATTAACCATTAACTGTTTCATTTATTTGTGTGTTTACAGGGACCTTACAGGACGGTGAAAACATAACCGAGAAACCAGGACAAGCTTGAACCGGATGGCTCAAACTGGAACTGGTAGGTTTAGGGAACACACCCAATTACACATACAAACGCACACACACGCACACACACACACACACACACACACACACACACACACACACACACACACACACAGTGAGTCCCATAGAGAGACACAGCAATGCCCTCGAGGGTGCCAGTCATGCCCAGCTTCCGCTGCGCTCCAAATTGAGCGTGGCACAGAGCGTATGAAGTCAGCCGTCTGGAAGAGAGCCAGGCATTGTTCCTCCGAGCAGCTGGATGGTAATTACTAGAAAGAAAGAGAGGGAGAGGGAGAGAGAGAGGGAGAGGGAGAGAGAAAGAGTGGGGGGAACCCTGCAACCTCACTACTGTTGCTTCTGCTCCCCCTCCTGCTGCATGTATCATAAACTAATACACATGAAGCAGAGCCGGGAATCCTTCAAATCTACAGACGACAGAGAGTCCTTGCGTGTACACACGTGTCGGTGGATAGTGGAACATCACACTCAATAACTCATAAACAGGAAGCTGAGGTTCAGTTTGCTCTCACAGACCATGCCAAGGAAGTAAACATGAAATCTGTCAAAGGAATTCTTTGGAGAAACAGGCAACAACAAGACTGAGCTGACTTATTTAAAGCATTAGCAACAAGCTAATGTTGATTTATATCACATTTGATTTCAGGAAGATAAACGTATGCTTTACAGATTCAGAAAATAAAAAGTCTGTGGTTTGAAAAAAAAAACAACAAAAACAATGAAATGTTTCTATTTTTATTCAGGCGTTTGAAACATCTTCACAGCTTTGAGTTTGTACTGATGTCATGAAGATACACCGCAGCCCATTTTTCATGGTGTGACCTCTGAAGAGATTAAGTGAGAAGGAGTAAAGTTAGTAAGAAATAAAAAAAGAAGAAGCTTTTTATAGCTCGTTATAGTACACTTGTCCTGTTTGAATTAAAAGCACAACAAAACTAAAATGTGTACTCGAGAAGGGATGTTTTTTAATTAGCTTTTCATTTCCATTCAGACCACATTAGATAGACAGATTGTTTCTGCAGGTACACCGCTAACATTTGAGTTATTCCTCAGAACAAAACTCAAGGCCTGAGCTAGAAAGTAGTTCACATTGAATGAAATGAGATTGAAATGAAATTTAGAGAGTTCTAAAAAAAAAAATCAAACTTTTTAAAATGAATTTTCTAAGTAGCCACAAGAGAAAGGATGAAATGAACTTTTTTAATTGAAAAAAGTCTAATAGCAGCATTTGGATGAGCTCTCTGGGCCCTCAGGTTTTATTTTTGGATAAACCATTGATGCTGAGAAATCAGAGTAGATGTTTATCTTCTACACATTATACAACGGAAACCCTATAAAAAAATAATGTGTTTCTAATTCCAACCTTCTTTAACCATCCGTCATTACAAACTTAACTATTTTTAAAGCCTTTATAAATATTATAATCAAACAGCACCATCTGTGTGTGGGTTGAATCCTTCCCCTTTTTTTGTCTGCAAACATAACGTCATTGTTTCTGCAGTTCTGAGCATGCCACGTGTGAGTTATTCTTTTAATCATTTTATGAAATTAGGACATTGCACAGCAGTTAATCAATCAGCAGCTTTACATTAAGACACTAACACCTCAATGTAAATATGCCTGAATTAGCATAAGGGCTCAAGTTCATCAAATATCAGATATCAAAATAAGAGAGTGACACAAAGAGACATAAGATGCTAGAGGATGATGGAAGAAGAAAGAGAGAGAGAGAGAGAGGGTGGAGAGAGAGCTGTGCAGCCTGAGGAATGTGTCAACTCGCTGTCAACTATGTGTTGCTTTGTCATGGGACCGCTGAGCACTGGAAACGCGTAAAAGTTGCCTTTTTCACACCTTCGACTCCTCCCGCCCTCCTTCCTCCTCCTCCTCCCTCCTCCTCTTCCCCTCTCTGCCACACAATTTTCACACACACACACACACACACACACAGTGGCAAGCAGTAGCCGGGCCAGCGCTTAGTGCAGCTGTGACCAGAACAATAGCATTCCTCAGGTTTTTAAACGCCTGGCACTTAGATTCCTAACAGTCAAATTCCTGGTGGGGAGAAGCTGGGGGTTGCTATAGGATGCAGAGAGCTGTAAGACGCCTTGTAAGGAGACGTGCAGCTGTAAAGCTCTGTGTGATTGGTGTTTTTTTTTTTTATGAGAAGGATGGATGGGTTCATGGAGACGAGGGTTGGAGGGGGGGGAAGCTGTTTTTCACCTCACGTCTTCTTTTTTGTTTGTTTTTTGTGACATTTTCAACAACTCCCAATTTTGGCAGTTTGGGTCGAGAAGGCGTCCTGCTGCTTTTGTGGGAGCATCATGCGTCAAAAGAGACACCTGTTAAGTCAACATGCGCGTCTTGTAATGTGGTTTTTGGCAACTGTGGTGCCGAATACTACACAGATGTGCTGAAAACCACACGTTGGTTTGAAGAGGGTTAAATTAGGTGCAAATAAAGGAAACAAACAATGTTATCGATGACAGTCAGTAAATATCTAAGTAGTGTGTTAAATGTTCAGACAAAGTACCTCCATAGGTTTTTCTTTAGTAACATCACATTTTTTTATTCTATTTCAACTTAAATTTGTCAAAAATGAGCTTTGACCAAGATGACTAAATCCATCTTCTCCCACTATGAACACCTTGATTTGAAATCCTATAAATAGTCTTTATAGTTAGTTTTGTCAAAGCCTGAATCCAGTTCTTTCCACATCATGCGTGCCTCCTCTGGTGGCTTCCCTCCACACAGCACAGAGCCGTCCGGCTATCAGCCCATCTGAAATAACCCCAAAAAATAATGATTCTCTCATTAACCACGCCTGTTTCACAATTTAAATATAAATGAATCTAATTTAGAGAACCTCGGCCCCCGATGAAGGAGGACTCATTTAGAGCCAATCTAAAATTAATGAGGGCATCTGGAGAGAGGGAGAGAGAGAGAGAGAGAGAGAGAGAGAGAGAGAGAGAGAGAGAGAGAGAGGCCTAGCGTGGCTTAACAGATACCGCCGTTAACAAGCTACTGTACTTTAAACGCTGGAAAATCCCCATTAATTTTAAAGTTAATGCACTACTGTACTCCACGGTGGAGAAAAGGGGGGCTTTAATGTTAGCTCAAACACATCACAGCGACATCCTCACACTGACTCCTGACCTCCAGCTGTCAGACCTCCTTCACGTCGTCCTAAGCTTACATTTATTCAACTCTGCCGCTCAAATAGAAATATGACTTATAAACTGTTCTTTAAGAAAGCTGTGCATGAATATGTTTGTGCATCTGTGCAGTGTTCCACCTCTAGGTGTAAAAATCAAATCCCTGTTTACTATTACAGAGAGGAAAGTCTCCCATGATGCATTCTGCTTCAGTAGCATTTAAGAACAACACAACAAAATTACTAGTATGGCAACTGGGAGCTGCATCAATAATCAATTCAAGTCAATTCAAAGTAAATTGTCGCACAAATATTTTGATATTCAATCATTTCAGTCATTTTTCAAGCAACAGCATCAAACGTGTGTTCTTTGAAAGTTTTTTTATGTGAGGATTTGTTGTTTTTCTTTGTTATTTATGAGTTTACAAGATCCAGTTTGGGGTTTATTTGCTCTGTTTTCTAAAAGAAAATAAGCACAATATAAAACATCACAGCCCTGATGAGCATTAATCAAAATGTTTAAACCTTTTATAAAACAAAGAATTATCAGTGACTCATGAAAACAATGTGAGGCTAACGTGCAACAGCATCACATGCAAATGATTTGAGTTTTGTTTGTTAATATGACCTGAAGAGTTGCCATAGTAACAAACAATTATTTTTAATTAGATATAAAAGTAATGTTTCCTAACCACATGTTTACATTACAGGTTTATGTAGCCTATACATTAGCTCAGTGTTGATTTTGTGATAGTGATTATAATAACCTGTTTTATGTTTCTAAGTTACACCGTGTTTTAAACTCAGGAAAGACAGAACAGCTTCAGACAGAATGGACACAATCAGTGTCAGTAAGCAGAGCAGATAATGAAGGGCCATTTGAAAACAAATCAAAAGACTAAAGCGAAAACAGAAAAGGTTCAAAAGTTTCGATTAAAAAAAAGCAAATTTCTAGGCTTTCCTCTGCTCCTATTGGTTAAGAAAACCTATACATTTCTAAGATGTAAAAGTCTCCTATACCTACATGTTGACCCCCTCAGGTTTATATATAAATGTGCATCAGGTTTAGTTTCTGTACTTTTCATCAGCTTGCAGTCTGCACCGTCCTCTCCCTCAGCAGCCGTTTGAGCGGCCCCAGCAGATGCCAGCCAGCTCCCACAGTGACTGTTTGGTTTTGCAGGTTTAATTCCCGATGGGTTTGGGTCCAGAGTGATTAGGCTGAGCCCT